CCTCTTTGGTGTTGCTTAAGTGTTGCTGTGGCGCTCTCCTCTCTTGATACGTGAGTCACGTACGATTCAGCAAAAAATTTCGCATTTTGACCAATTCTGATCTCTAATTCATTCATCATCTTCAATATTGAATAATATCCTTCATTGAAGATGCAAGCAGCAATAAAAACAGCAATTTCAATTATTTTGGCGCCCGAATGCAAGTGCTCAGGAGCAAGACGTCACACCATAGAGTTAAAACTCTCGTTCGCATTTTGTGTGACCTCCTAAACAATGTCGTCCTAAGCATATATCAGCACTGCTAAGTTTTCTTTTACCATGATAGATGCATTCGAAATCACATTTTCACTTTCACGTTGCTTAGTAAAACGATTGCCGTGAACTTTTTTTTTGTGGCTCTGAAGCACGGTGTTACTGTTCATGAGACCTTTACAGATATGTTGACATTTTTTTCAATTAAGAAAAAATAAAACAAACCAATAAATTGGTCTATAAAGGTGTAACGTGCCGTTCTGAGTTCATTTAATCGTTATATGCAATACGCACAGCGTCGTTTCGAATTTCCTTACACACACACATTCTCATTTTCTTTTGAATTGTCCCTGACTCATACGATGGGGACAACCCATCTATCGGGCCAACGATTTTTTAAGAAAAGCTGAACAAAAGGGACGGACCTGGTTATCTGGTTACTTTGCGCGCTCGGCTTCTCAGAGCTGTAATTTCCAGAATTTAAGAGATATTGCTTTGAAATTTGAAATGTACATTTTCAAAGAGTACTACTATCAATTAAGCCACAAATGAAAAAAATCGATCTTTTGGACTTTCTAAACCAGGCCCCCCCCTTAAGTATGTAAATACGATGTTTTTTTAGTCGTTTAAGCCCAGGTTTAATGTTGTAACTCAAAATAAACCATATTCACAAGGCATTTTCCAACGTGTGAAACATTTTGGAGATTAATAGAAACACAAATTTATTACTCACTCATTTATTTACTCGCAGTAACAGTGTTTTTGTGCATCAGGAAGAGACACACTTACTCGTGGTACATCCAACTTACAACTGACCGACCAGCGCTGACGCCTAGCATATATTAATAAAATGATAGCAATTGACTATCTATCCTCTATGCCCATCTATCCCGGACTTATCCTATCTTATTAGTTATCGTTAAGCATTAGTTATCGTTAAGTTGTAATCATTGTTCTCTTTGTTGCTTCACGTTGCTTCAACGCAGTTCTCACACATAATTTTCAGGTACATCAAACTTATATCAGTGCAATCGCACTTTTTTGTGCGCTTGAATTTCAGAAGGTAGCCATCTTGTCCAGTGGGAGAATTTCCTATCAGAAAACGAAATGACTCGACATCTGCAGTCGGAAAATTACACGAAAAATTATAAACGACCCTTCCTATCCCGCTATCCGACTATCAGGCTACATTAGAGAGGCGTCTGGTGTTCTCACGTGAATTTTAACGTCTCATCGGAAGCGAGTCGATTTCGCGCTTTCGTCGAGCAATCGTCGGAGATGCGATGGCGAGAGCGCGATAATTGAATGAATCGAGGCGCGACTCTCCAGGAGCAGGCAGCGAATCATTTCGATCCGCGACACGCCCGTCCCAGATCAGAGTTTAATTGCCGCGGGGATCATTGCGTTAATGCGATTTCTTCTATGAAAACAACGGAGATACGAGAGATGCGTAATTATACACAGACGTCGTTGCCGTGGGAGACCTTAACCAGAGCTAACGCTCTCGGGTTAACAACATTTTCTCATTAATGTGCATTTGCTATTCCTTGTCAAAGTTCATCCCGCTATCTAATTCAGTTTGCATCTGGCACGAAAACGGAATTGGGAAACCGCATAATGGAATTTGCTCGACGTCAATGTTTCATCATGCTGTTGTCTGGACGCCTAGATCCTGCGGGGTTTGTAGATCGTGTTTGTATATTCATTGCAATTTATGGTTGCTTTTGATTATTACCATGTAATACAATTTTTTAATGGCCCTCTTGTTTAAAAAAAGACGTGTTGCGCTCCGAAGCCTGACTTGTCGCCGGATCATACTACGACTTCGATTTTTGCTAGTGAAAACAGTGGCGGCTCATAGCGGAGATTACAATTACACTTTGCAATAATAGCCGATCCGTCGAGCCAGGTGAAACACAGCAAACAGAGTACCTGGCGCCATTTAGCGGTACCGTGCAAAGACCGCGCGAGTCTCGGTTATATAAGGTTTGAGTCTTGGCTGAATACAAGTATCTCGGCTAAGCAATTCGTTACTTTTACGTTCCGCTATGAGCCGCCACCATTTCCAAGGAAAGAATGAGGTCGTAGTACCAATAGACGATAGGTCAAACACTGCTATTTTATTTTTGGTAAAACATTTCCACAACGGTCTAATCCACACTTTTTTAGGTTTCGAATTTTATTGTCTCTACTATTAAGTTACAAGACTTTATCCCAATTTCCAACCTTAACTCATCCGTACTAATCAAAAATAAAAATTTTTCTGTGAATTGTATCGCCGAAATTTGAGCGTAAGCTCTCCAAACAAAGCAACAACATATAACAACTGTTGCATATGAGACAGTTGAGTTTTCATTCAAGCGTAATAGTTGAGAACGCGAGTTCTCGCACAAATACTATTAGGCTGGCAAGAAAGTCATGTCATTTTTTTTTCTATGTAAATAAGAAGTGATTTTTTCGTACAAAGCAAAAACTTTATTCCGTAATATATTGTTCGTTTAATTCAATGACTTTTAGCCATTTGTTTGATATCTTCATGATTCCGGCCTCATAGAACTTTTGGTCTTTGATAACCTCATCAGAATGATGTACAAAATTAATGAAAATTCCAATTATTATCGATGATGTGTGGATTTCTCGGGTCGCTGATTACGAATCTGAAGTCAGATTTGCAAAATTCAATATGGCGACTATAATGTACGAAATTGATAAAAATTCCGATTATTATTGATGATGTATGGGTTTTTCGAATCGCTGACTACGAATCTTTTAAGTAAAATAATATTGATAGTATGGATAAGATGGAGATACAGAATGAAAAAAAATAAGGAAAATAGAGTTAATAAGTGCAAAAAAATCAAATTTCGGCCGTTTTTGTAGAAATATTTGTTTATACAAAAAAATCTAACCTGCAAAAAGATACTGAAGAAAATATATGTTTTTGTACAACATCAGAAAAATATTTGGTGAAAGACCTCTACATTCAATACTCTCCGAGGAATCGATTTTTCCTTAAAGAAAGCATATTTTTCAACTTTGATTTGTTATAAATAATCACAAATGAATAATTGGGTATAAAAATCTATTGGAGTATGTTGAACAACTATTCAGTTATCTGGAAAACTCAAATCCCGGATTAGTTCTTCGAAATTATATGATTTACAACGCAAAATTGAATCAAGAAAAGGTGGAGAGTATACTTCCCATTAACAGTGAAAGGATTAAGGATTCCTCACTATATACATCACGTAACTTTTGACGAGCTTGCACAGCGTTCTTTCCTTATTGGAAATAAAAAAAGTAAAATATGGCGGAAACGCTCGTTTTAATTTTCCATTTTTAACTCCAATTCCATTTTCCATTTAACTTCCATTTTTAACTCAATGCCGAACAAACAACCTTTACCGAATGACGCACGTTTTCTCTTTTTTTAAAGACAGCTTAAAGTGTCAGCGGTCAAATGGTATAAAGGTCATAGGATTTGGAGTGAAGTTAGTTATGTTTAATGACAAGTAAAGCTCTCTATCCGTGAACAACGACATAACTTTGTTGCTAATCTGATACTTATCATTCAGAAATCTCAGGAGAGGAATATTGATTGCATCTTTTTTCTCGCACTCAAAACTTAAAATACGAGAGAACGAGCGACCTAATCGGCCAATATCAGGTTAATCGGCCAATATCAATCACCGACTCCGATCGACGCGCGCTCGCGCCGAAAACAATTCGACGAGCTTTCTCAAAGCAGCGGGCACGAGCGAACATTCCAAATTGTGATTTGCGCGTGTCGCGCACGTCGCGAAGAATCGGTGACCTGGTTTCCGCCGGTCGAGCGGAACTTTCCTTCCCCTTGAACTTGAAAAATCAATATATCTCTCGATCTCACACACTCGATCATGCATCACGAGACGGCTGTCGGGAAAGTTATCCGAGCGCGCATCTTTACGTGACTCTTTTAAGGCGAGAAACGGTCGCTTCGGCCGACGCTAGTCGTCAACGTACGTCACGTTCAAACAGTACCTAAACGATATAATCGATGCGACTTTGGTCGCTTTTACCTCCACGCATATGTCGCGTCCTCGGAGCGAAAGTGCGTCTTTTACAAATTCCCACGTCGTTTAGTGTTCTGCCCGCGCACGCTCGCCGCTACCATTACCGTGCCGCGTTTAATTACACCCTGCGGATTATAGTAGCAATTATCGTGACAACGAGTAAGCGAGCGCCGTTGTTAGCCGCTAGTAGCAATTTAACCTTCGCTAATCACCTCCTCATCAGCGGTCTCAAGTAGTCTGTAAATACCGATATATGTCGCGGCATTCCCCCTGCAGCGAATAAATCGAAAAATTCACGCGCGAATAAAATTGCATCGCGCAAGTCTTTCGTGAGACGAATAAAAGCGAAAAAGAAATGGAAAATATATATTTTCAACGAAATAAATGGTCGTGTACGTTTGTCACAGTCGAGACGCGAAAAGTACCGCAAGGTACGCACAGGTATCATAGATTGCTCGCTGCGTCTACCGCGTCGAAGCTCGACCCCCACGTGCCCCATCAAAGGCTGACGCGTATCGATATCAATCCGTCTGTCAGATTTCCTCCTCATTGCTCCCAAGCCACGGTGTGTTTTAGCCTTAACAGTCCGCTCGGCGGTGAGCAGTCAGCGCGCGCGCGCGTTCATGCGTCAGAGGGGAATCAAGCGAGTAAGATAGAGAGAGAGTTCGAAAGTAGGCCTCAGTCGTTCAGTCAGTTGTCGACTACATGTCCGGACGATTGGTCGGCGTAATGGTGAGTTTTCGAGCGTCACCGACTCTCCAACGGTGAGCGCGCCGTTCTCTCTCCCGCTGGCGAGGCGGCACGGTGTGTGCCGAGTGATTTTTGCGGACGCGAACGAATTTGCACGTGGCGCGTGTCGCCGTTCGTCTTTACCGCGCGGCGCCTGGCGCCTGGCGCACGCTTCTCTTCTCGCATGCCACGCGGAAATCGTCCAAAGTGATCGCGCGCCGTGTACAGTGTTACGATCGAGAACGAAATCCCCGGCGGATGTTTCATCGACGGAGACGGACAACGTGTCGACGTAATGCTCGACGCGGCGAACCCCGCGCATCATCCGCGCGTCAAATACGATAACGCGCGGCTCGTGATGCACGACGATAAATGTAACTTTCCGAACTCTCCTTCAAGTGAGACCGTACTTCCTCGCGGCGAATTGCGCGATTTTATAGATCATCAATGTGGTGAGACGCTAAATACGACGCACGCGTTCTTAAGATCTTGGACTTGTTATTTATCGCATCTCGGAGACGCTGCTCGAGTGTGATCGTCAAGTGATTAATATCGGTTAACACCTGTAACAGTAAATTTATTTACTGGCTGTAATAAATTGGCCAGTGATAAAATAAGTAATTTGATCACTCGTACGAATATTTTTATTACTCATTTTGTTACAGCCAGTAATACATTTCTGTAAGAGGCAAATGCTATCAATTTTAGACCTCAAGTTAACTCGATCGACTTTTAAAACAACTTTACGTTCGTTTTAATCAATTGAAATTGACTTTCAAGCTAACTGGAAAATCACCGTCACGCTCGTGAAGAATCGTCAAAGTATCTCATCGAAGTTGATACGCGTCAAAGCGCGCTATTCGATGACAGAAAAAAAAAGACTCGTCGCAAGACTCGTCGCGCGTGCGTTATGGTCACGCGGTCAACAATCGCGCCCTTTAGCATGTGGCGTCGATCTGGCGAATTCGCAAATATCACGAACATCTTTCGCCGCGAAATCGGACGAATACTTTTCAACGTCGTCACGACATCGGGTTGTGAAAGTTGCCGGGTTCTTTCCGCCCAGCGAAACGTTTTTGCCGCGAGCGCGCGGGCGCGCGCGCGCGCCCGCGCGCTCGTTAAGCATATTTTTTTCTTCTAATTCTAATTATCACTCGAGCGCGTCCTACCGCGCGAAGACTTGTCGCGAGAATTGAATTTCCCGTCGCGGATGCGATCGCCGCGACCAACCCGCGTGCTTCGGATCGTGCGGACTGATAATCGCCGATTTCCCCTCGTGTTATACGGCACACATCGACGCGTCGTAATCACGAGCGGAAATTGCAGGCTCGGCTTTCCCGGCGGAGACGCAAAATCGAGCAACTTAACCGCCGAATATCCGCCGCCGCCGCCGTCGTCGTCGTCGTCGTCGTCGTCGTCGTCGTCGTCGCGAGAGGACGAAAGTGACTTTCGTCCTCTGCCGTTCGCCTTCTACTCATCGCTTATCCGCGTTTCATTCGCGAGCGCGATGTTCGCATCTTCCGTGGCGCGTCGAAGACGCGAACAACGCGATCGTCATCGAGGGATCACGGTTCGCCGAGGAACCGTGAAATCACGGCACGTTAAGAAAGCACCGATTCTCGTGACGTGCAAGTGGACGTCGCGTCCACCGAGACGGAACGGGCGATAAGCAGCGCGAGATGCAATTGCGACACGATCGGGATTACGCGAATGAGCTAACCCGCGCTCTTTGACACCGGGAGTCCGCTCCAAGCTGTTTTTACGAGATTCGCTCATGAATATGAAAAGAAGGTATACTGACATAGATCCTCTCGTCGCCTTTTCCTTCGGCGCTCGGTTGAGTAACGACGCTCGCGCGCGTCGTTGGAATAAACAACGCGCATCAGTAACGAGTTCGATACAATTCCTCGTATGTAGGGCATACCTCGAGCATGCTGCAATTTAGATCTACCTGAACATGCATAAAACGCCCTCAAGGAGAGATTCATTACGATCGAATGGAAATTGCTTACAAGGTTGCGCAAAGTTGCGCGGAGAGCAGCGGTGTAAATCCTGAGAAATTACAATCTTGGAAAATAAAGATATCCCGTGAGGCGCGCGAGAGCCTCACCTTGATTTCTTCATTAGTCGTCTGCGTCTCGGAACAATCGCATGTGCGTACGGTTAAATCAAACGCAAACATGGTCAGTATCGGTCGTACGTTCAATTGCAAATAATCGCGAAGACAATTTCGTGTGCGGCATGTTTTCCGATCGCGGAGATTGCGTTGAGGTTACCTAACAATACGATAGTAGTTAATCGGTTTTTAGAGTCAATTTCTTCATTTCATTCATCTTCTGCATCTCGAAACAAAGGCTTGTTAGAAGATTGAATTAATTCGCATCTTACTTTGTAAATTTTTTGTCTTTATTTTAAAGAAGTGGTTAAATTTACGTAGATCGAAATATTTCCCGTCATTAGCTGTGACGTTTACTCATCTTTCTGGCAACATAGCGCTTCCGCGACGTTTTGTCTTTCAAAGTAATCCAATCAGACACCCATTTTTGCACATCCTCGTAATTATTGAAGTGTGTATCTGCCAAAGTGTGTTGCATCGAGCGGAATAGATGATAATCAGATCAGGTGTTGGATCTGGAGAATACGCTGGATGCGAAAAGATTTCCCATTCGAGCTCTAACAATGTTTGTTTAACGATTGAAGCAACATGTGGACGAGCATTATCGTGCAAAAGAATCACTTTGCGTCTATTGCTGGCTATCGCTGGCCTTTTCGCATCAATTCATCACTCAATTTGTTCAATTGTTGCCAATATCGCTCCCCCGTAACTGTTTCGTTCGGTTTTTTAGAAGCTCATAGTACACCACATCTTCCATATCCTACCAAATATAGAGTAATCTTTGTGACTGTGAACGTGCCGTTTTGGTGTCGATGTTGATGATTGTCCTGGATCAACCCATGATTTTTCTCGCTTTGGATTATCAAAATAAATCCACCTTTCATCTCCGCTTATAATTCGCTGCAAAAAACTCCTTTTTTTGCGTCTGGCAAGCAAAGCATGGCAATATTCAAACAATTTGCAATGACACTTTCATTCAATTCATGTGGAATCCATTTGCTTTCCTTTTGAATTTTTCCTATGGCATGTAGGCGTTTAGAACTTGATTTATCGACGTTGAGTTATTCAGCCAATTGTTTTTCCGTTTGAGCGGTGTTTTCATTCAATAATGCTTGCGATTCAGATTCTTCTATTCTTTTGCTTAACCAGTACGTTCTTTGTCACTCAAATCAAGATCACCACCTTTGAATCGTTGAAACCAAAATTTACAGTTGGAATACGATATGGAGCTTGATCACCTTAAGTTGTAACAAGCATTTCATAAGCTTCAGTTGCCGATTTTTTTAAATCAAACAAAAAAAAGTAATGAATGTCGAAAATGCTAGTTTGTACTATCCATTTTAGACGCGGATAAACAATGAAACTATCAGTAACAATAGCGCGCAAACTGTCATATGTCATTGAGAAATGTCAAATCTTTCAGTGTTGCCAGATTTTCGAATATTCGTACTAACCATTAATTTGTTACTAAAGCCATCTATTGCTAGGGACCAAAACTAACTCAACCTCATACAACCAAATAAATTCAACCTAATACATGCGATTAAATCAAATGCCATGGTTAGTATTGTTGGTTTAATTGCAAATGATTGCGAAGAAAATTTCGTATACGGCATGCTTACCGATCGCGGAGATTGTGTTGAGGTTACCTAACGATACAATAGTAGTTAATCGGTTTCTAGAGTCGCGTTCGCTCAACTGACGTGAGTCGCCTAATCGGGATAATTATTGTTTCCGCAGATTGCGCTATTCTGTCTGCTGCTCGTTCTCGGCTTAGGTCATTGCGATGAACTTCCGTCAAGATACGAGGTCGAGAACTCGATCAACCGAACGGTCGACGAGGTCGAAAGATTGATTCAGAAAGATCCGAGCCTGCCGCGGCTCAGCAGGCATGAGATCGTCGATATTCTCTTTAACATCACGTCCAAGGATGTCGAGGCGTACCGAAATAAGGAGACGGTCGAGCAAGCGAGGAAAATCTACCAGAAAGCATTAATGGTGGTCTTGCCTTATAACGCCGGAGACGCAAAGGGGAACATCAAGGAATTGTACACGAGGCCGCCGATAGTTAAACTAGTCACGGATTCTTCCTTCAGTTTACAGGACCTCGAGAAATGGAAAAGCGAGATACTGCTGCAGTCATCGTCATCCACGTCCACGTCCACGTCCGCGAGTACGTCGACTACGACTACGACTACGACGTCGACGCCGGCTACGACTACGACGTCAGCGTCGGCGTCGACGTCCACGTCCACGTCCACGTCGACGCAGGAGACGTTACGCAATAAACAGCCTCTGGACAACCTTGTGGTGACGCATGCGGCGGAAAAGACCTCTCCGAAGGAGAGCCCGCACACGAAAACGCGGTACAAGAACCACAAGGATACGTACTCGGAAGTGCAGACGAAGCTACCGCTGAAGGAAACCCTCAAGTACGATTCGTCGCCGATCAAATTCACCTTCAATCTTGAGAATCTGCAGAAGCAGGTTGTGAGGAAACCGATAACGACGACGAAACAACCGGTCTTCCAGACGTCCCCCTCGAGCAAGGACGAGGACATTTTCATCGTGTACAGTACGAGCGCGACCGAGCGAACAATCGTAGAGACGAGTATGCGAGGTGTGTCGAGAGAGTTCGATCTGCAAACAACGACCCGGCCCAACGGCTTCCAGCAGAATATCCTGTCTTCCGATCAATGGCGTTATAACGCACCACCGAGCACAACTACTCAGAAAAGCACGACGACGTCGAGAGCCGCGTACTTCGAAAGGACTCGTGAAAAACCGTCGTTTCTACCGACAGTCAAGATATCATCGGAAGACGCCGCGACGACGACGAGCACAGCTGAGGACGCCGCGAAACTGTCCAAGGTAACTTCTGGCAGAACACCAATGGCGGACAGCGAGCAACTGACGACTTCCATCTACGTGACACCTGTCTCAACCTTCACTTCTTCCTCGTATCCTCCTTCTTCCATCTCGGAGAAATCCAAATACAACTCTACCTACAACTTCAACTCTGGAGGATTCCGCAGGATCACAACGACGACCAGTACGACAATGCGGCCGGAGGTGATGGACCTACTCGCGTCGATCGGACTTCGGCCGGAAAACACTACAAACGTGGAGGAGGTGTTTGGGAAGAACCAGGAAAGTCTCGAAGCCAAGTTCCAGATTCCCGGCACTAACGGCTTCTTCCACACCACGGCTTCCGGCCTGACGGCCGTGGTGCCCGACTCGCCGTCGATAGCCGCCCAGAACACCTTCGAGAACCCGGTCTCGGAGATCGGGTTGGGAATGAACAACCTGACACCCGACGTACAGTTGCTGTTTCAACGATTCGGCCTATACACATCAAACTCGGCGGCAACGACCACGACGACCACGCCGAAACCGACCGTGAACACCAACTCCTACACCAACTTCAAACCCCTGCCAACGTCCAAGATCAAGGACGAGGAAATGAAAGAGTTCCTGGCCAGGTTCGGTCTTGGTGTCGATAAGCGACAGCGCAAAGCCATGCCGACGGCCACGTCGACGGAACGGCCGTCGTTGATCGAGGCCGTTCCGAGCAACATGAGACAAATCTTGGAGAACATCGGCCTCATTTCACGCAGGACACCGAAGACAACGACGCCAAAGATGGAGGAGTTGGAGCCTCCGAAAACGACTCCGTACCACGTGTTCAAGCCGCACGAGGTGCAACTGAAGGACGAAGGGCAGAAGATGAAGATCAACGAGCTGCTGGACACAGTCAGATTGGTGCAGGAGGGGAAAGCGAGCGTCAAGGACGTACGAAAGGTAGCCAACGACTTGCTAGCAACTACGAAGAGCCTCAAGGACGGCCCGGATCCGCTGAGTCTCGAGGAGATTGTTAGGATCTACAACGAAGACGTGAAGAACGAAGTGAAGAGGCAACAGAGCCCGGATAGACCCGGCGACAGCGCGAGCACTGCTGCACCAACGACGTCAACGACGCCCGCTACTACCGGTATAAAGAGATTCATGATTTCCGTTTTGGGCACTTCGGAAACCTGGGTTGGCAGGATCATGCAGGGTCTGGAAAGGATCAAGCGCATGCTAACCTTCATGGGGAATAGGATGAAGCCATCACCGGATTAAATGGACTTATTCCGGGACTTAGACCTCGTTCTACTAAACACTCCTCTCTTTCTCTCTCTTTCTGTCGTAGTTCTGTCTCTCAGTCTCTCAGTGTATTCTCCGTTTGTGTCTTTCGCTTCTTCCCTCTTAGCATGATCTCTGGCTGCGTCCCTTTCGCTTTTACTTCGATATTCGCTTGGTACCTTACTTTCGAGCGTTGGTCAAAACGCGTGTACAAATTTAGATTACGACAAGCGAATAAGACAAATTTGCGAATAGCGGAGTACCGCAAAAGTAGACGAATCAATGAACGATTACTTAACACATCGCTCATCAGTCAATAGTAGCTCTCTAGTAGGTCTCTCAATTAGTAGTCTTAATTAATCAGTCTGCCGATTCCAACGAGATCGAAGCCATCGTACATCTCAAGCAATTTTAAACGTACAACATCAATGATGCGACGCTCACGTTCGATCGCATAACTCGACAACGAGATTTAGCCATGACATTATGTAAAGCTTTGAGGCAGCTTCCCGCAGTAGCGTTTCCACTTTCTTCAAAGATCGAAGGAGGGTTGCGCAATCAGTCGAAATCGCATTGCGAAATTCGAAATCCCGCAGGCGTTTCAGGCAAAGTCGAACAGAATCGGAGATGCGACGCGTTTCACCAGGCGATTTATTTAGGCGGCGATCCTCCGGAGGAGATTTTTTGTCTGCGAACTTTTTCTCTCTCTCTTTCTCTCTCTCTCTCTCTCTCTCTCTCTCTCTCTCTCTCGGCCGCATGCATTAACACCGGCTAGATGTGCAACTTTCATGTCGCGTTCCTTGCCCTCGAAATGCTAAGTGCGCGTCATAAATGTTGCATGTGAAAACAGCGAACGCACGCGACTGCACGCAAACCGGTTCGCGCTACACTGCTCGGACGATCCCATCGTCGTCCGTACCGATTGCAGTACGAGAGAAATATTTACGTTATCTACTTCACTTCAGTGCGAATGACCGCGACGGAACGGAATGAACGCGCGTGCAAAGACGAGGAAAAACGCGACGATAAAAAGGCGCTCTGCCGGTGCCTGCCGGTCGAAGAAGCACAACTCATCCGTCGCATTCTCGATTGTCCCTCGTTATCTGGCGATTGTCCTATTGGCGCGATATTCGTGCGTCATCGACTTCTGATTTTCCCCTTAAAAGCAGCAACCGTTTCTAACGTTCCCCAGCGCAATGCGAGATAGCCTTTCGCTCTCGTAGCCAGCGGATTTCGATTTCCGCGACGTCCGATCTATTTGCCCGGCCAACTTTATCGAATATCTTTTAAACGCCCTGCGTGATCGTTTTCCCGCTTGATCGCTATGAAGCGTGACGAATTCGTTCGTCTACTCACTCACTCACTCGCGAAATGATGACGAGGCGCGATAAGAGCGCGTGAAACGAGAAGGAACTCACGGTGCATCTTGTCGACAGAGCCTATAGACGTTCCCACGACAACGACCCCGACGACGACTACGACAACTACCCCGACGACGACCACGACGACGATAACCCCGAGCACCGCAGATTCCGCAAAGGACGCCTCGGACATATCGGACGCGCTCACGCCGTTGCCAGAGTCGACGTCGGCAGCTGCGAATCTCGCGGCGCTGGAGGAATCCTTCGGCGGTACTACACGCGCGCCCGATCCCGTTTTACCGACCAAGCCAAGAAGCGGCCTCTACTTCCTGGTGGACTGGAACAGCTTTCTCGAGGTCGGCGAGGACAACAGCGAGAAGGTGAACCTGAGATTCGAGCCGAAAGCCGGCAACAAGGCGAGGTTCTTGCCGGTCACCGTGCCGTAACTTTTCGCGCCGAACTACTCGACGCAATCCTAACATCTTTCTTCTCCCCTCTTCGCCCCTCTACTTGTTTCTTGTTGTTTTTCACGATTGTTCATTTCATGCACGGTCAGCAATCTTTGACACCTCGCGATGACGCAATCTACGCGGATGCCCGACGCAATATTTAAAACGTATATTTGATTACTTGTTCGTTATATAATTGACTGATTAATGTAATTCGATGTTCCGTGTTTCCAAATTACCGAAAGGAAGGGGAGGAGCAAGTGGTGAAATGTTAAAATCAAACCTGTTTCCGCGTCTCGGTTAGTATGCGAGCGAATTTTCGCTTTTACTTAAATTATTCTAGTTTAAAGACGCAACTGTGTTTCGTCGATAATCCCCTCGGTACGCTCGATTAATTCCCGCAAATATTAGGTTGTTTGGAAAGTAATTTCGGTTTCTCGCATAAAAATGAAAGACGATAATTTTAATAGGAAGAATAGTTTTATTCTATTAAGTATTAACCCCACTTTGTTCTAACAAACTTTTGCTATCTTTGAGATAATAACATGATTCCACGTAGAACTTCTGGTCCTTATTGGTAAAAAACTATGAATTAAATGGTTTTTGACACCTTTATTTCAATCGAAATTTTTACCATTCTCCAAAGAATTTTGCAGTGACTGAAACAAATGATAATCGGATGATGCCAGATCAGGAATATGGTGGATGCGGTAACAAATCCCATCCAAGTGCTGACAGCTTCTGACGAGTCATTAAATTTATGTGAGGTCTGGCGTTGTCATGATGTGAAACACAACACCTTTTCTGTTTGCCAATACTGACCTCTTCTGCTAGATGGAATCATTCATTTTGTCCAGTTGATGACAATACACATTCGAATCAATCGTTTGGTTGTTTGATAGCAGCTCAAAAAAACCATTTCTTTTTAATCCCACCAAACAAAGAACATCATCTTCTTTTGATAAATATCAGCTTTCGATGTGCTTTGAGCTGATCCATCATATTTGCTTCATGATCTTTTGCGTTTAATATTGTTGTACTTAATCCACTTTTCATCTCCAGTTATGAGTCGCCTCAGAAATAGATCGTTTTCCTCATGTTTCAACAGCAAATCGCAGATGGTAGAGCAACGAATCAAATATCTTTCTTTGAAAACGTGGAATCCAAATATTGGGCTTTGAAACGAAACCAAATTGTTTCGAACGCTCGTGCATGGTCGAATTCGATAAATTCAATCTCTCAGCAATTTCTCGTGTTGTTAAATGACGATTTGCGTCCACCAATGCCTTTATTTGGTCTTCATCAACCTCAGCTGGCCTTCCAGAACGTGATGCATCTTTGAGGTCGAAATTCCCAGAACAAAATTTCGAAAACTAATTTTGACACTGGCCAATTCAGTCAATACATCCTCTCTATACATGGCACACAATTTTCTTCTTGCTTGCTGCGCTGCATTTCTGCCTTTACGTTAATAAAAAAGCAAAATGTGGCGAAAATGCTCATGTTGGTTTTCCATTTTTGATACAACGCCAAACAAAAACAGCTTGATAGATTCCAAAACAATTTTTTCTTAATGAAGCTTGAAATGTGCGTTGTAAGAATGTAAAATGATTTTCTGGTGTAGAATGAGGTTAACTGCTTAAAAAGGCAACTATCTATTTGAAAAAATCGAAATTACTTTCCAAACAACCCAATAAATCGGCCAAAGCATCGTGAGAGGAGAATGCTGCACGACATGCTGCAATTACTAGGAAGTATGACATCACTCATGATATGTAGACGTCTATGCGTGTCGCTTGAAATCTCTTTGATGCACACGACATCTTCTCTTCGGAGAAAATGATAAGCCATAATTTAATTATTAGGCTGGTGCAAAAATAATTGCGGTTGTTATCATTTTAAGTTTGGCGCCGATTTTTCTAGTTACCGTTATCTTCCGTTACAGTCATGTGATACATAAACAATGAAATTGGCACTACTGATTTCAGCTTACGTCTATTGTTTTCATTCTTTAGTTTGTTGAATATAACCTTTCAAATTAGTCACGGGAAAGGAACAAATTCGCGAGATTTTGTTACACGAGTTTCAATAGGGACGTAAAACAACAGAAACTGCTCGAAATATCAAATTTGTTTTTGGCGAAGAGTCAATTAATGAACGTAAAGCTCAACACTGGTTCCAAAAATTTCGCGACGGAAACGAAAGCCTCGAAGGGAGGAGGGTCGTGGACGTCCTTCGGTTATAGACGATAATAACTTAAAAATCATTATTAAAGCGGACCCACGTAAAACAACTTGAGAGGTTGTTTCCCGTTGAGAGAAATGGGTGCAGGCCAATGGTCCTTATTTTGATTAATAAATAAAAATTTTCAATTGATATATGCGTCTTTATATACTAGATATGTAAAAACCGCAATTATTTTTGCATCAACCTAATACATAAACTGTTCCATACGCTAGCTCTTTTCGACGGAGATATAACGAATAAAAAGAAACATATAGACACGCCAGACGAGCGAATGAAAATATACGGTACAAATTAATTATATCCCTCGATAGATATTGTGTGTGAAGAAGAAATTTTCTACTCGAATGTACGATGAATCAGAGTATATCGTCGGATTGTCGATGAATTCGGGGGGGTCTAGCGCGGATATTATCAATGCCTGCTTCAAGACTGGAAAGAAGAGTCACGTCGTATAAACACGAGTCGAGATTGGCCCGATGAGGATCATAATATTGTGAATCATAATATTGTGAGAAAAGTGTTCACAAGCCACACGGGTCGTGAGAATCTCACGGTCTTCAGGTCTCAGTTCACGTCCACGATGTTACCGAATAAGGCTCTCGTCGTGTGTCTCGTTCTACCGTTGATTCTCGCGAGTAGCGCGCAAAGCCTGAATCTCGAAGACATATCCAGAACATTGGACGAGCTTCTCGTCGGTGTTCGATCACCTCGACGGCCGCGAGATCGCGAGGACACGTCGTCAATCTGGCAAAAATATGAATTCGGCACCGGAGCCGGGAACCGAGAAGGTGATTAGCGCGCCAAGTATTTTACTATTATTAACCCGACATCGATAATCGCAAGTGAAATCCGTCGGGCAAAATTTATGGTTCTTGAACGAAGAAGCGTGTTTCTTCGAGCGTAATTAAGCAACGATCGGCTGTACGTACGGGACATTCCAGAGCCAACGAGTGTTTCTTCAGTCGCAAGTATAACGAGACGACGTTTCTCAGTCGTTTATCTGACCTTTCTCAAACCCATCGCACATTTTTCGCGCGACAATGCCTCAAGTCGAAGTTCACTGTCCTCTGTTATTCTCTCTCGAGGCTCAAAGCTCTTCGTTTCTAAACTTTACCGAGCGCGGAATTAATCCCGTATCAGCCCAGAGGCTGATGACAACGAAGAGAACACTGGCGGTTTTGGAACATGTGTTCGCACAGAACGCATGTCGATCGCTCTTGTATTTTTTGCGATTTGTTCCGCGCGCGCGTAGCGGACAAGCAATAAAACCGGTAACTGACTTCATGTTCTGTATATACGTACATCTAATCCTAGCGTAAGTATATTACTTCTTTTGTACAGAGAATGTAGCGTATCCACGTTTGTCGTTCCATTATGCAAATAAATCGACCAATCCCTGAGAAGAGTGCTTGGATTTTTTCAGAGGTGGAAGTGACGAACATTACGTTGCACAGATACGCCGATATCCCCGAGACAAATGATTGGCAATTCTTACAGACGGAAAATGCTTATTTTATTTGCGCCGAAGGCTCGACTTTACTCTTCTACGAAGTCGACCTGAACGATCTGTCCATCAAACTTAGCGCAAATGTGACGACCGAGGGACGTATATTGCGGTTCAAAGTTTTCGATTTAAAGGTTGAGGAGATGAAACGTAAAGATTACGCGGACGATTTGATGGCAGTTCTGTTCGTCGGGTCCGAATACGGCTATTTTCTCTACTGGTATCGAGTCTCGGAGAACGCGACTCGATTATATTCGAAATTGTCGGTGCAACATGAGTACCGAGACATGGAAATCGTTCGTAAGGGAGATCAAAACGAGTTATTGTTGCTCAACAATAACGTCGTGTATCTCGGACAGTCGTCCATCGATGTTTACGGTTTCCACTCCGATTACAGCAATCATCGCATCGACATATGGTAATATTACGTTGGTATGCGCGCCGCGCCATATTGTATTACGTTCGTTGCAGCGTGCGACTATAACTGAAGTGAGAAAAAGATCTTTCTTCAATTAAACGACGATTAACCGCGAAATCTCATGACACTTCGATGAAAAGATTTCAACTTGACGTCAGATTGCAACTTACGAAACAATAAAAAGATACGTTTTCCGGTATAAACCAGAGTTACATCGCGCAGGTTTTGTCGGCGATTGTACATCCCCGAAACATCCGACGTCCAGGTCTGTCCGTTTTATGACAGCACCATACTGGCCCTTCAGACGAACGACAGCATTGTCTTGTACGTGGCGCGAGACGATGATGTACATTGCAAGTACGAGGAGTTCGAAGTCATCGAGACGAAGCAGCTCGCGAATTTCGTCTGTTTCGAGAGCGGTTACATCGAGTATCTGGCGATTGCCGCAAGAAAAGCGCGGCTGTTTCACTTTTTCGAGAACGAGTTCCAGGACAACGCGGAGACGAGTCTGCTATTCGACGGTAAGAGACGGAAATTGCAAAATCGCAGGACGAAAGGAGAGTTAGAGAAATTGTTGCAAAATGTTTCCCGCTTCGTTTCGCAGGGATCATCGAAGAGGTCTCATGGATCACGGCTGTGCCGCTCCACACGTATCGCGATGAGTCACTATTGCTGGTGCAATTTGAAAATTTGACAGAGATTGCGCTGGCCTGGCAAGGGTCGTATTTTAAGCAAGTTCTATTGCCGAGCCAGATTATGGACGACTTTGATCTGTCAAGAGTCGTCGTTGTCCCGAAAGTCGGATTTATGCATGGAAACACACTCGTACGGATAGATGTGATTCTAAGGGAGTTGGCGTACCCTGCTCACAGTGAGACCGAGAGCATGTTGAAGACGCGGATTTTGTTGGAGGTGAGTTTATGTCATTTGCGTGTTTGTTGCGTCTGTATGAAATACACACAGAGTGTGTGAAAAGTATCGGAATGGTGAAATATCTCGAAAACTAACATTTTCGAAAAAAATGTTTCAGACAAAGGTCATATGGTTTCAAGGAGGACATAAAACAACTATATCATTCTCTTTACATAAAACAACTATATCATTCTCTTTAGATGGCGCCATTTTCAAGATATTTATTGATCGCTACATTTCTTAAATGGAAATCCCAATTTTTTATTTGCCTAATATTTTTTTGGATATTTAAGGATAACTTGATAACTTTTTTCATATTTAACTTACGATATCTCGCTAACTATTTGTCGAAAGAAAAACTGGTATCAAACTGTTTTACACTGTTTGACCTCAAGAATATATTGTTACAATAGTGCTTTAACTTTTGTTAATTTATACAGACCTATGGAAATTTCAAAATCATCAAATTAACAGAAAAAGTCAGGGCGCTACAATATTAGGTCGGTGCAAAAGTTATTGCGGTTTTTACGTATTAAGTAAATATAAAGACTTATATATCAGTTAAACATTATATTTATTAATCAAAATAAAAACGTTGGCCCGCACACATTTCTCCCGAGAAACAAATTTGTCTATTCCTACAAGATAGAATTTTGGAAAAGATAACGGTAACTAGAAAAATCGGCATCAAATTTAAAGTGATAAAAACCGCAATTATGTTTGCACCAATCTAATATTTTCGAAATCATATAGAGTAAAAAAGTCTAGTACTACTTTTTCTTCCGACAAATAGTTAGCGAGATATCGTAAGTTAAATATTGAAAAAGTTTCCGAGTTTTCTTTAAATATCTCAAAAAATATTAAGCAAATAAAAAAATGTTTCAGACAAAAGTTGCTCAAATTAATTGGTAAAAAGAGATGATATAATAAAAAATTGGAATTTCCATTTAAGAAAAGTAATGGTTAGTGAATATCTCGAAAATGACGCCATCTATAAACAAAATGATATTAACGTTGTTTAACGTTTCCTTTGAAACCATACAGCTTTTGTTTGAAACATTTTTTTCTTACTTAAATACTTATTTAAATATTTAGTTTTCGAGATATTTCACCGTCCCATTACTTTTTACTACTATACACCCCGTATATCTCAACTACGATAATTTATAAGATATCATCTCTCCGAGACTTTTACAAGCATTTTCCGTATATACATAAACAATAAATTTTTTAATAATCAATAATTTTCAATAATTTAACAATAATCAAGTATCTTTTAATTGATACATCTTTTAATTATATAAATATAAATTAATTATTATTATAAATATAAATAAATAATTATCTTTTAATAATTATTTAATAATTACCTTTTAATAAATATCTTTTAATTGATATAATTTGCACATGTAGGTATAACAAGAAATATATTTGGTGGATGATCTTTGATTTAAGAATTTCGTATTGCATGACTAGCTTCAAAACGCGTGGGACATTTTCAGGATGTGTTTCGCACACAAGAAGCTATCTTGGACAAGACCGAGGCACAAGTGAATCAAAGTTACCTCAAGAATCCTGTGACAGGATTTTGGAACCTTTCGAGAGCGAACGTTTCGGACGTTGCGACTGGGAAAGACGTAAAGTACGGCGCGATCAAGGTCGGCACAATGGATTTGCAGCCCGAAGATATGTCGACGAACGTGATGTCGAGCTTGAAGAAACTCGAGGAGCTTGAAGCAAAACTTGATCCGGTCTTATCGAATATGAAAGACACGGACAACGTCTACACGATGAAGATAGTTCTGCAGCCGGATGTTAAGATAAACGCGGATTTCCTGGTAAACGGCACCTTGCACGCGAAAAACGTAACCGCCGCTTTTGTGAATAACGCGTCTACCTTGAGTGCCCCAGACAGCAACACAAATCCCTCGGTCGATCTCATCAACGGCCGAAAGTCTTTCCCTTCCGTCGACACCGACAACTTGACGGTTGTAACGTTGAACGGCATCCCGCTGGAAGAATACGTCTTCGACAATTTGCTCGCAAGTTATGACGACGTGGACTTTTCCAGGCCAAAGCGATTAGAGATTGATGGGCACTTGAACTTTTCCCAGATAAACGACGTGGTCTGGGACAAACTGATGCAGAATATAGTATGGAAGAATGAAAATAAGTTCATTCCTGGAGACACGATTGTGAAAGGAGTAAGACGACTTAATTGTCCCTGCGCAGAGCGTCCAACAAATTGCGATACATTGGACCAAAATAATGGAAATAATATTTATTGTTCTTCGTTTATTTTATCACAATTTCGTGCCGCGATTGTTGGACGCTGAAATCACGTTTTCGCTCATTTTCCTTCATAATAAGGCATGCTTCTTTTTCTAGCAACTCATCGTCGATGAGGGTATTGTCGCCTATCTGAATAATCTGCGATATCCACAGGATTATGTCCCGAGTCGCAGCAAGATTACTGTCAATGTTACGGGTGAAAAATACTTTTCCAATCTGTCCGTGATCAATTTTGTAAACGTCAGCATGATAAACGACATCGACGACTTCATCGTTCTTAACCGAGACGAGCTTCTCGATCGAGAGATTATCTTCGAGGATCTGCAGATTGATGAAATTCTTCAGGTACGATTTCGCGGATTTGCACTTTGCGATCAAGCGTATACGTTACAATGCGATTTCAGATCGACGGAAATGTAACGGGCATTAATGTAACCAAATTGGAGGGTACGCTCAACGAGATCAACATGCTCAACACAGACGCCATTTTTGAGAATCTGATCGTCGTGGGAGATATCGTGCTGCGAGATTCGATCGACGCTAAAACATGGTCGGATTTTGACGATCTTCTGCTGAAGACCGAGAGCAACGCGACAATTACGGGCAACAAGAAATTCTCAAGTGAAGTCACTTTGAAGTCCAACATTAGAACCGGAAGCGTCAACGGTCACGCGGTTTCGGAATTTGTAACGCTCGACACCGATCAACAGTTCCCTTGTGAGTATTATTCAAACGTTATTCGATTATGCGAGTCATCAGATCGAAAAAAATCATTTTCTTTTCTCGCCCCCCCTCCCTCTCGCGGTGTGTTTCACCGGAAGATCTCAAAGGGACCGCACCTTGCTCGTTTCAGATCTGAAGAGCATATCGGCGAGTGTCACGTTCGGCGATGTGAACCTCGGCGCCGTGAACAAATTGAAAGATTATGTAACTAGAGAGCAAAGTATTTCCTCCGGCTGCATAAATAAGGTACTCCTTTTCATGAAAACGCCCATCGTCGACAAGATCTCCTTCGAGACTATAGAGCACAGGATCACGAGCGAGGCTTTCTTCGAGCGATTGAACAAAACCTTCCGCAAGGCGTACTTTGAGCGTCTGACGCTCTCGACGTTACGGGCTGACGAGATCACGCCGAAAATGATCAATGCGATGTGGAACTACAGCGATTTAATGAAATTAACAGCCTCAACGCGGCAGAATCTAACGGGCTCCTTGGTGGTCGACAATTTGGAGATCAGCGTGTTAGACGCGAAGCTCGTCAACGGCATGCTGATGCACGATTTCAATAGATTGTTGACGCGCGCGAAATCTCTTTACGACGACGTCTTTAGCGGCAACGCGACTTTACAGTCCCTGCGAGTGACGGGAGTATTAACGGCGTCTTCGATCAACGGGCGTGATGTTCTCGACATTTACGACGAACGCAGCATGAGGCCCGTAATCTTCCAGAGAGACGTGACGATCGAGAATCTGACGGTGCTCGACTTTGTAAACGGTCGAAATCTATCCAAATTCGTCGATGATGCCGTACGAAAAACCGATAGGAATATCACGTACACCGGCAAAAAGACGTTTGGGAACGTCACGTGCGAATTTTTAGACGTGCGATTTGTAAACGGCCATTTCGTGGACGACATTCTGGATCCCGAGAGAGAACAAGTGCTGAGAGGACCAGTTGTTGTAAACGGTAGCGTAGGCAAAATTTTTTTAATTCTTTACGATAGTGTTTTAAGTGTGATGTCTTTGACCGACGTCTATTAGTTTTATATTTATATACAGAGAGTGTGTAAAAAGAGTACCGGGACGGCGAAATATCTCGAAGACTAAGCATTTTAGAAAAAAATGTTACAGACAAAAGTTGCATGGTTTCAAGGGGGAACTTGAAATAACTATATATTTTTGTCTACAGATGGTGCTACTTTCGAAATATTCATTGATCATTACTTTTCTTAAGTGAAAACCCTAATTTTTTATTATATCATCTTTTTCTACAAATTAATTTTGTACAACTTTGTCAGAAACATTTTTTTTATTTATGAATCTAATGTTCCTTGAGATATTTAGAAAAACTTGATAATTTTTTCGATATTTAACTTACGATATCTCGCTAACTATTTGTCGGTAGAAAAAATAGTACTAAACTTTTTTACTCTATTTGGTCTCAAAAATATATTGTTACAGCGTCCTGACTTTTGTCAATTTGATAATTTTGAAATTTCCAAAAGTCAATAAGTTAACAAAAGTCAGGGCACTATTGTAACAATATATTTTTGAGACTAAATAGGGTAAAAAAGTCTAATACTATTTTTTCTTTTGACAAATAATCAGCGAGATATTGTAAGTTAAATGTTGGAAAAGTTACCAAGTTTTCCTTAAATATCTCAAAATATTAGGCAAATAAAAAAATGTCTCAGACAAAAGTTGTTAAAATTAATTGGTAGAAAAAGATGATGTAATAAGAAATTAGAGTTTCCCTTTAAGAAAAATAATGATCAGTGAATATCTCGAAAATGGCGCCATCTGTAAACAAAATAATATAGTTTGTTTTATGTTCCTTTCGAAACCATACAATTTTTGGATCCGTAACATTTTTGTCTAAAACGTTTCTTAATACCTTTTATATTTTTCGAAACTTTTCCTGGCTCATTTAAAATAGGATATCCTGTATATATACAGGGTGTCCGGGATGTTTTGGAGATGAATAATTGTAAAGATTAATCAGGTTAAACTGAGAAAAAAAGTCATGTACCATTTTGCAAATAAGTGCGCAAATTTTCAAGTTATCAATTAAAAGAACCACTAGATGTCATTTTCAATCATTATCATAACTTAATAATTATTGCGATTTTTGCAAAATGATATATAACTTTTCATCCTGTATAGTCTAAGCTTTATTTTAATAATTATTTCTATTATTTCTAACTGAATTCTCTTATTTTATATTTTAGTACAGTTGAACTATTTAATTTAATTTTTCAATATTCCTTTCTTCCTTTAATCTTTCTCTCTCGACTTTAGTGCACTAATAAAAATTTATCTTTTCAGGTTCAATCACCGTCTTGGAAAGTTTCAACACTACCGGCAAGATCGGAGCCATATTCTTAAGCGATTTTATAGATAGAATTAAACCGCTCGGAAATAACTCTTACGCTCTTCGCGGTGATTTCCGTTTCACCGGAAATACTTCCGTCGCGAGATTAGACGTGAGCGGACCTGTTGAGGGAATGTTTTTCGACAATTTCCTGCAGAGGACAATCGCCAAAAGTCACTCGAATGTTACGATATCCGGAACAAAATTATTCAAGAAACTGATCATATTCAACGATAGATTCACCATCGATGGCGTCTTGGATGACTTGGAACTGTTTAAATTTCGCGAGAAAGCTGTTTATATCGATAAACCCTTTTCAATCGACTCCAAAGTAGTGTTCAAAGAAGGCATTTACCTGCGAAAAAATGTTCTGGTGAAGAAAAAATTACAAACGAGCAGCATCATGGGAGTGGATATGAAAGATTTACGGGAGAACGCAATTCCTCTTGACGCACCCGTACATTTTGGAGGTAATTCTATTTTGATAACGAAGAAAACGTAGTCGCACTAAAAAGGGATACATTTGTATTCATTGCATTCTCGAAGAATCGAATTGTTTCTGTGTCTCGCAAAGGATCATAACGAATGTTCGTTTGCACTCGCCTGAAATAGGCTGAATGTTAATTGATCGGTTCTTGCTCGATCATCGATATGGTTTGCATGGTTAGTTTTCAAAGTTTCGCTTTTGTACGCTCGATTTTACCCGACTGTGGTCTATTCCGTGATAACTAATTATCGGTTGTAAACGACGTGTCGCGATTATAATAGTTTGCTACACGTCGTTTGCAACCAATAATCATATACGATTCCAAAGAACACGCTTCATTGCGGTCAGTAAACCGGGTATCCATGTAATATCAGCGTTCGCGTGATGGCGCACAGGACGTCGACTATTACACCGAACGATTTCGCCGCTTAATGGAGAACATTTTGCATTTCAGAGCGGATGACACTCGACAATGTGACTTCTCAAGCGAGCGTAAAAGTCGTACAGGTCAATGACTTGAAAATGCACGAGTTGATTCCGTTGCATACGGACCAGCTCATCCTGATTGAGACCCTCATGTGCATCAAAGTCACTTACAAACACATCCATTTGCGTGGACACGTAAACAACTACGTTCTGAATAATATCTACGCGGACACTTTCACGGTAAGACAAACGTCGAATTGGAGTAATGTCATTTCTTATATACTTAATAAATCTCGAAAAAAGTTAAATTTTCGAAACATTTAAATAAATCGGTGTATGTGTGTGTGTGTGTGTGTGTGTGTGTGTCTAGATTTATCTTAAAATGTTTTTATTAGGACGTTGTATTGAAAGCCGCTGTTCACGTGTAAATGGCTCTAGCTACATATGCTGTGGGCATGTCTCTTATGTCATTTTTAAGTGTGAATATTTCCCACTACAATTCAGTCATTAGATGCCATCCTTTGTCTATACAAGTGCTTTTCTATAACCGAATTAATCCTTTCACTATTAGTGGGAAGTATACTTCCCACCTTTCCTTGATTCAATTCTGCGTTGTAAATCACATAACTTTGAAGAACTAATCGGGGATTTGAGTTTTCTAGATAACTGAATAGTTGTTCAACATACTCCAATAGGTTTTTATACCTAATTATTCATTTGTGATTATTTGTAACAAATCAAAGTAGAAAAAATGCTTTTTTAGGGAAAAATCGATTCCTCGGAGAGTATTGAATGTAGAGGTCTGAAATTTTCACCAAATATTTTTCTGATGTTGTACTATAACATATATTTTTTTAGTATTTTTTTGCAGGTTAGGTTTTTTTTTATAAACAAATATTTCTACAAAAACGGTCAGAATTTGATTTTTTTGCGCTTTTAGCTCTATTTTCCTAGTTTCTTCATTCTGTAGCTCCATCTTATCCATACTATTAATATTATTTTACTCAAACATGAATGTTTAATCCCTAGTAAGCATAAATATGCGGTATTGAACATTTTCCCACATAAATTTTTTCCAGCTCGATCGAGTTCCATCGTCTAGAATCATATGTTCTTATTACGACCTGGCCATTATTTAATAATAATTTAATAATAATAATAATTTAATAATAATAATTTAATTTAATAATAATAATTTAATAATTTAATAATAATTGGAATTTTCATTAATTTTGTACATCATGATCGCCATATTGAACCCGCCATTTTGAATTTTGTAAATCTGGCTTTAGATTCGTAATCAGCGACCCAAAAAACATAGGACTACCAAATATTTTAATAATTTTCTCGGGGAAAAAGGGAAGTTAATTCAGCAGTGAAAGGGTTAAAATAGAACGTGATAAATTATTTTTCCGATGTGTACTTCTACGTTACTTTGACTTGAAAAAAAATCAAAATAACTGCTTGTAGCTGAAGTTCATCGACTTTCTTCGCGAAAACTTATGGTGAATTTGTTCTATCGGAAACAGTATGTAGAGATTGGTTTCAACGATTCAAAAGTGATGATTGTTTGGTGACGTTTACAACAAACAACGGCCAGGTCAATCGAAAAAGTTCGAAGATGAACAACTGCCAGCTCTGTTGGGAGAAAACCTTACTTAAATACTTTAAGAATTAGCTCAAAGTTGATAAATCAACCATTTCACGACGTTCATAAGCTATGAGAGATATTCAGAAAGAAGGAAGATGGCTGCCACGTGAATTGGCCAAAAATGCCATTGCTAATCGTTTTCTCTCTTATCTCGATTTCTTTGATCGCAAGGCTTAAAAAGAAGAATTTCTTGTGGCGAATTGTAACTGAAGATAAAAAGAGGATTTATTTCAACAATCCAAAGCGAAAAAAATGATAGGTTGATCTAGGACAACCATCAACGTCGACACCAAAGCGAAACATCCATAGTCACAAAGCAATGCTTTCTATTTTAGTGGGATATGGAGGCTGTCATGTATTATGAGCTGTTGAAACTGAACGAAATAGCCACCGTTGAACATTATCGACAACAATTGGAGCGTTTGAGTGATAATTTGATGCATAAATAATCATCAATTACATCAAATGCCGAAAAGTGATTCTTCTTCATGACAACGCTCGGTTCCATGTTGCTATAGCTGTGAAACAAACAGTGATGGTGCTCGAATGGGAAGTTCTCCCGCACCTAGCATATTCTCCGGACCTGGCCCCAAGCGATTACCATCTGTTCCAATCGATGCAACACGTTTTGGAAGATACACATTTCCATAATTACGGAGAAGTCGAAAATTGGATTGCTAAATGGATTGGCTCGGAAGATAGACCGTTCTTTCGTCGCGGAATTCAACTTCTGCCAGAAAAGTAGAAAAAGTCACAGCTTCCGAGGTCAAACACTTTGATTAATGTATTCACATATTTTGTTATTGAAATAAGTGCTCAAAAAACACAAAATCAGCGGCTTTCAATGCAACCTTCTAATAAATTTATATTTTTACATATTATAAGAGAATATTAGGGAATGGAAGAGAACGCTAATTTTTTTAAATATTTTATAATTTTTATCAATTATTATGTAATGGAGGTTTCTCAGATTCTGAAATTTCTCAAATTCATGATAAATAATTTTTCTTACAGGTAGACGACGACCAGAATGTTACAGGAATTATAAAGATTCGAGGAAACGTTTACGCGTATAAGGACTTTAATGTTCATTATATAAACGGTTTCAAGCTCAATCAAATTATTTCCACAAATGCCAACGAGACTTTAATTGGTAAAAAACTGAGACGAAATGAATCGTAAACAATGTCGCTAAATACCTATGCATTCCACAGTATTGATTCAAGAGAAAAATTCTACTAAATCTGTGCTACCTCAACGTTTCAGAAATTTAGAGTTAAAATTTTTTAACGACAACGATATCATAACGTGATTCTTCTTTTTTCTTTAAATTTTTTCTCTTGTTTTACTTCTAGGAAATTTCACGTTCAAAGATACAGTGATCCTTGATAAGAGCCTCAGGATTTTAGGTCTTCTAAACGGAATAGACCCGATTAACTGGGAAGGAACAGCAGTGATGAAAACAAGCAAAACGAAACAGATTATACACGGGAAATGGCGGGTACACGGGAACGTTACATTTGAGAAGAATATTAACGGAAGTGAATTTCTAAACAAAATTAATATCATGGAAGCGTCGATCATCCTGGCGAAAGAACGTGTCGAATTATACTCCATTATCAAAGAGATAAACGTAAGGAAAATTATTCTCCGAAAACGTATCGTGTTTGTAATGTTTTCCTGACAATATTCGAAAAAATTGTTGACACAGCAAACATTCCCTTTAACGTAGCCGTTCTTTCGAGGAAAAAAAACCATTGACTGAAACGTAATTCTATCATTCGCAGGAGAATCTAGATAGCATATGCGAGATTTTAAACGTGCTCGAGTGCCGTTTTGCGAATCAGTTGTATAAATTCGATACGTTCGAATACTTGAAAATATTGGAGTTCGAAGGAGACATCCACAACATCCGTAATATTGACTTGGATAATTTAGGATATTTACTGGTAAATCACGGCAATTGCAGCGTGACGCTTCTGCAATATACTTCGACTAACTTCATAGAGGCCGACAAAGTGTTCGACGTCGGATTGGTCGATCAATGGACCTTCTACAGATTGAACCGCACGATATATATGCTTACAATCGCGAAACGCGCCTGCGGCAGAAATCTTAACAACATATGGAAGTTGGAAAATGGCAGACTGACGGTGGGTCTTTTATCGCGCTACTTTATTAAAGAATATACAAATATGACGTGTCGTGTTTTTCGAGCGAGCGGTTCAAGTGATTCCTTTTAATTACGAATATAAGAGTGCTTTAGCTTCTCTTTTAGCTGATTCAATCTGGTCGATTTTTATATTTTACTCGCTGCTCTTTTGTTTCGTAGCATATGTTGGAGCTCGGTAATGTGACTAATTTTATGAGAACGTATCAAAATACGTTCATAGCGATGAATCACGATGAGACTGCGACTGTGCCGGAATCGAATCTGCAATCGAGCATATTGGAGGCTCTAGTTTCTTATGAACAAGAAAAGTTAAATTCAATTTTATACAACGAGCCAATTATGCCGACAAATCAGACTTTCGTCTACGAAGTGCAAGGTAGATCATTGAATGGTATGCATCCAAACGATTGCTTCAACTGCAGCAGTCTATTAAACTACAAAGTAGGAATTTTCAAGAAAGAAGTGTACGTGTATTATAACGAGGAAATCAGTCAAAATCACATTTACGTAAGTTGAGGGCAATTACTAATTTATGCTTTACGCATCGCGCGCGCATTAACTTTGTGGTATATTGTAGTTTATCGCGCGAAAATTATTAGGAATGTGATTTAGTTTTGAGAGTTTGGCAAGAGATGGCACTAATGTCGGGTTTGTCGAAGACAGTTCAACCGTAACTATCGTTTCTTAATGCTTTAATATTATTCCATGATATTTAATCATTTACTAACAATAGACGCAGTAAAAAACGTATTAATATCATCTTAAAAATTGAGCTTCGTAAAGAGCATTTTCGACATGCGTTGCTTTTATTTTTTTAATCGGAAGAAAACGGCGACTAAAGGACATAGAATTCTGATAGAGACTTATAGTGATGTTGTTCCATCAATTAAGACACGCGAATATTGGTTTAGACGATTCAAAAATGATGACTTCAATGTTAACGACAAAGATCGCTAGGGACAACCAAGATAGCTTGAAAATGCAGATTTGCAAGCATTATTGAGCGAAAATCCAGCACAATTCACTTCAGAACTTGCCGGAGCATTAAATGTTGATCGTACAACAGTTATTAAACGTTTACATGATATGGAAAAAATTCACAAAGAAAGAAAATGGGTTGGTTGTTCCACGTCAATTATCAGAAATGCCATTGTGAACCGGTTGAATATTTGCATTTCATTGATCGCCAGACAAAAGTGAAGAATTTTTTGTATCGAATTGTTACTGGGGGGGGGGGTTACTGGGGATGAAGAATTGGATCTATCTCGATAATCCCAAACAAAAAAAGTCATGGGTTGATCCAGGTCAACCAGCAACATTCACTTCGAGACGCAATATTCACGGTTCAAAGGTATTGCAATGTATCTGATGGGATCAAGAAGGTGTTGTGTATTATGAACAGTTAAATCCCAATGAAATTGTCACCGCTGATCGTTATCGACAATAATTATACAAATTGAAGCGGGCATTGAATCAAGAACGGTCACCAATTGCGAGTAAACGAGGTAAAGTGATCCTTCTTCACGACAATGTTCGATTTCACCTCACGTATTCTTCAGATATTGCTCCATTCGATTATCACTTCTTCCGGGCGATGCAACATACTCTAGAGCAGGGTTTCCCAACCTTTTTTGTATTTCGCACCCCTAAAAATTTATTAATAAACTTTCGCACCCCTTATATAAAAAAAATTATTCGTATGTTTTATGGTAAAAATTAGTTATTAGAGTTTTAAGGTAAGAAGTTAATTTATAATAATTTATTATTACCAGAGATGTGCGAATCAAGAATTTTTATATTGAATCGAATCGAATCGAATTTCATTTTTAAATTCGAATTCGAATCGAATCGAATATATGAAATTCACTCGAATACGAATCGAATCGAATGAAGTCGAATCGAATCATTAAAAAATTTAACATGACTATTAAACATGCAAATAATGATGAAAGATTTTAATATGAAAAGGAATATTAATATTGTAATATCATCTTAAAGTAAAATATATATTTAAATATTTAAAGTAATTTATAATTAAGTTATTAATTATAAGTTAAGTCAATTACAAGTTAAGGGTTCAAACATACAGGCTCAGATGGCCCGTTTTGTAGCTGATGCACGCAAACGATAAAGTATTTGATTCTTATTCGAATTATTTGGATACAAATCATGGGGATTCGGATTCGAATTCGAATAGTTCGCACATCTTTAATTATTACATAGTATGGTTTTATAGAAATTAACTATCATTTTGGTATTATAAAATTATTATCCACGGTATTAAGTTTCGTACAGTGATATGTAATGAATATATACATACAGATACATAAAAAATATATAATTTTAATAAAATTTTTTTTAATTTGATGGTAAAAATGCCAGATTATTCCAGAATTCATCTTAATTACTATTAATTACAATCATTTTTCCTCGCACCCTCAAGAATGTTTTTTCGCACCCCCGGTTGGGAACCCCTGTTCTAGAGGACATACACTTTCATAACTTCGAACAAGTGCGAAAATTTGTTGAAAATGGGTTAACTCCAAAGAAGAATCTTTCTATCGTCGCGAAATCCATTTCATGCCAAAAAGATGAAAAAAAGTTGTAGAAAACGAAGAAAAACATTTTGGTTAAGGTATTCGTTTATTAGCTTGTTTAAGTAAATCAGTTTTTGAGAAAAAAAACTCCCAAAACTAAATTACTCCTAATACTTTGCGAAGAAAGATTGCGTTTCAGCATAATTTCGATATACATCAATTCAATCGTATCGTTTCATCAAGTTTTTGAAGGATGACGCTTCGCAAACGAGGATCCTGCAAATCATAAAAGCGCATCGACCCAAGTCCTTTTTGGTATTGAATTTCGACGGATCCGTCGAGACGCTACTAATTTTCATCGAGAATAATGAGGCTATCCGGGTCTATGAATATCGAGGTAAATTTAAATTTCAAGATTAAAAAGAAGGAACGCGAGAGAAAAGAACTCGAGAAAAAAAGACACATACCGTCGTGATCGTGTACGACCGAATTACATTTCGCGAAATCTGTTGCAAGGTATCGAAGGCTTCGTGTACAGGAATTCGATCAAAATGAAGGTCGATCAATTGTACAAGTTTCAAATGAGAAAGTACACGTATATGAAGAAGAAACACTACCTGGCCGCGGTGAATGGGGATCGATTGACGATCCTAGAAGCGAAGATGCACGGCGAGAAATTAGACTTGACAACTCTAACTTCCTCGGGCTCCTGCCCGATGAACGCGTGTCCGACGCGTTAAAAGGTACGATTGAGTGGACACGTGATGTGTGCGCGCTACTTTTAACCAATACATGTCAGTCGCGCGAGAAACCGGCGATATTTAATGTAATAGCGTAACTCCGTACATCTTGTCGGAGAGATCGAACTGTTGCAATAGATTACAAAAGTAATTTTAACATTTACTCTTACCGATTGCATGCGATTGTATCGACGTATTTTTCTATTCTCCTGCGATGGTATGATAATTGTTGTAAACTAAAAATCGCGATAAAACTGTTCGTGTGAGATACGATAGCTGGACGAACGTGTCTGTTCAAAGCAAGCACCCTTTAAGTTGCAACCGCGACAATTGCAACTTTCACTCCTACTCACTAATCAACTTTAATTAACATTCCGTCGCCACGCGAAACGCGATGATCGCGTCGCGTCGCGTCCGTTGCCGTCACCACAGCGGCAAGAAGCGACCGCCGCTCTCGACACGTTCGCTGCCTTCAAGATTGCGCCACCTCATGCAGTTTTGTTTGCATTTTCGTGGTCACGCGGTCGACGTCTCATGCCTTTCTCCCCTCTATGGCGAATGACGCGGAACGATCTTTTTTTCGGTCGACCCGCCGATGGACGACGATTCACGTCTCCGTACTCGCGGAAGCGAGTTTAATCATGCGCCGGAGCGCACGTTGCAGCGGCGGCAGGCACGTCATTGTCATTACCGCGTTCCTTTTTCCACGTGCAATCGATCTTCCAGCGTATACGGAATTCGCTCCGCGCCCCTTGCCTCTCCCTCCGCTGGCTCCTGTTCCGCGGGCATGGATGCCTTATGAAATATCACATCTGGCCGAGAGAGTTACGTGGAGAGTTATGGCGCGGATTGAATGGAAATCGCGAAGGCAAGGAATGCAGTAGCCATTTGCGATTTCTCAAAGGCAATTCCCGGCGTGAAGGTAAGCCGTCGCGGCGGCGGCGCTCGGCGCTCCGATAATAATGAACAAGTATTGGGTTGGCAAATAAGTTCGTTCGGTTTTTGTTTTAGTGCAAGTTTCATGAGGATTCGCTTTTCTTTTCTCAGCGCTATCGTGCAAATCGAATATACATTTGAAAGGTTATGTTTCACTGTTTATGTTGTGTTGTGTTTGGTTTGGCTAACATCAGTATTGTACTGTGCTGCGTAGCTGTGAACATGGAAATAAATAACGTGCATTATCGTCAGATTTTGCTCTATTATTTTAAGAAAGGCAAACGAGCTGCGGATGCTCATAAAAAGATACGCCGTGTGTATGGAGATGATGCCTTAACAGAACGGGTATGCCAATTTCCGTTCTGGAGATTTCGGCGTCAATGATGCGCCCCGCTCCGGTCGCCCGGCCGAGATTAATTCAAGTGACATTAAGGCTATAATCGAAGTAAATCCATCCCAATCGGTACGAGAGATTGCTACGACATTGAATATATCCCACACAAGCGTAGAAAAGCAATTGCGCCAGCTGGGATACGTTTCTCGGCTTAATGTTTGGGTGCCGCATCGATTAACCGAGGCTAACTTGACCACACGCATATCCATCTGCGATTCGCTACGGAAACGCCAAGAAAACGACCCATTTTTTAAACGAATAGTGACGGCTGACGAAAAATGGGTCGTCTACGATAATGTAACGCGCAAAAGATCACGGGGACACAGCAGCGAGCCACCGCAAACAACCTCGAAGGCGGTATTGCATCCGAAGAAAAGAATGCTCTCCGTATAGTGGGATTTCAAGGGTGTCGTCTATTACTAACTATTACCGTCAGGCAAAACGATTGATTCAACTGTATACTGTTCGCAATTGACGAAATTGAACCAAGCAATCCGCACAAGACGTCCAGAATTGGCAAATCACAAGGGTGTCGTCTTCCATCACGACAACGCTAGACCTCATACGTCATTGACCACTCGGAGCAAATTGCTTCGGCTTGGCTGGGATGTTTCGCCTCATCCTCCGTATTCAGCGGATCTTGCCGCTGCCGATTATCATTTATTCCGGTCGCTGCAGAACTCTATGAACGGGAAAACCTTCAAGGATGAAGAGGCCGTTAAAAACCAGCTGGATTGGTTTTCCGCCGATAAGCCCCAGACATTTTACGAACGCGGCATAATGAAGTTGGTAGAAAAATGGCTAGAGGTCATCGATAAAGATGGCCAATATATAATTGATTAAAAATTTATCTTGTGTATCAAAAAATTGTGTTTTATTCTACTCTAAAAAACCGAACGAACTTATTTGCCAACCCAATAGCTTTGTGCGGATGGAGCTCGCAGCTCTAAGCACGCTCCGCCGTGAAATGATGATCCGTAATAAATAATACACAAACCGCGTATTCGGCGGTGTTCGCCGAGGAAGAGGGATTCGCGGCACCCGTGTGGAATGCGACCCGCGCCCTGCTGACCTACAGACACTATGACTCGCGCCGAGCAATGTAGGCTTAGGTTAACGCGCTTCGTCTCGCTCCCAGAACGATGCCGCTCTCGTGATGGTACACGCTCTTCGAGGAATTTCGCGCTCCGTGAATCCGTCATTAACTCAATAGAAAATCAACGAAGCGCAATTTTCGAGTCGCACTTCATATTCGCACGGCGAAATTTGTCATCTCCTCTCCCCTTCTATGCCTCATCAATCTCATCGGAGAGAAAAGTTGAGATTCGCGCAAACTGATACGTTGAAGACGAAAACGCTCCATCTCGATCAGACGATTTCGAGCCGACGGAAATTTCATCCGAGAGGGTGGATGGAACGATTTTGCAGATTTTATTAGGTGTTCCGGTTAATTTTGAGGGCTTAATATATAGGGTGGCCCACGTAAAGTGTCACAAGTCCATAACTTTAAAAATATTTATCAAATCAAAAAATTGTTCATAAGGAAGTTTCATGTATTCGAGAGGCCTCTCTAACTATTAATACATAAACGTAAAGTCGCTCCCGCTTCCCCTTTAATGGGATAACTTCATAATTTTAAATGAAACCCCCAATAAAATGTTGCATATTTGGATTTTACGGGAAAAAGCAAGTAAATTTTATCTGAAACATTTGTTTGGAAAATGCTTCTGTCAAAAATTATAAGCATTTAAACCTTTAGCGATTTCATTCATGATTGAACTCCATTGCCAGAGAGTTTCGTTCGCAATACAACAAAAACAGAAAAGACCTTAGAGTAAACTGTGATCTGTATTTACGTTTCCCGATAAATGTATTTATTTATGTTTCTTTTGGTTAACATCAAGTACTCTAAGGTCTTTTTTGTTTTTGTTGTATCGCGAACGCAACTTTGTGTCAATGGAGTTCAATCATGAATAAAATCGCTAAAGATTTAAATGTTTATAACTTTTAATGGAAGCATTTTCCAAACAAATGTTTCAGATAAAATTTATTTGTTTTTTTTCCGTAGAGTCCAAATATGCAACATTTTATAGGGGATTCCATTTAAAATTATGAAGTTACTCCCGTCCTCCCTTAAAGGGGAGAGGGGGCGATTTTACGTTTGTGTAATTAGAGAGGCCTCTCGAATATATGAAACTTGCTTATGAAGAATTTTTTGATTTATTAAATATTTTTAAATACTTTTAAAGTTATGGACTTGTGGGCCTTTTACATAGGCCATCCTGTAGATGGCTATATAGCTACAGGTTGCGTGAAAAGTTCGTGGAGCGAAACTGAAATAAAGAATATTTAATTCTAAAAATTATTTTATTCTTCAATATAGTCTCCATTAACTTCAATATACTTGGCTCAATGGCTCTCCAATAATTTTATTCCATCGTGGAAGTGTGTTTCTGGAAGGTCTGCGAAATATGCCTCTACGGCTGCTATAGCTTTTTCATTGGACAAAAAATGCTTTCCACGGAGGAATTGTTTCAGGTTTCGGAACAGATAGAAGTCGCTGGATGCCAAATCTGGAGAATACAGTGGATGATCAAGCAATTTGTACTTCAATTCATTGAATTTAGACATTGACAAAACACTTTTGTGAGCAGGTGCGTTGTGTTGGTGAAAAATGACTTGTTTGTGCTGCAAACCAAGTCTTTTCTCACAATTTTTGCGTCCAATTGATCCAAAAGGTTACAATAATATTCAGAGTTTATTGTTTTACCTTTTTCCAGATAGTCAATTAACAAAATTCTTTTAGCATCTCAAAAAACTGATGCCAAAACCTTTTTTGCTGATCTTTCATGCTTTGTTTGCTTTGGAGCTGAACATCCAGCTTCAGTCCGTTGTAAACGTTCCGGTTTCAATTTAGTATCATGGTGATAGATCCAAGTCTCATCCATAGTTATAAAACGACGCACAAAATCGGTTTTATTCTTCTTAAAACGATCCAAATGACGCTGAGAAATTTGCTTTCGAGCGAGTTTTTGTTGAATTGTTAACGTATGTGGCACCACTTTTCCAAACACCTTTTTCAGTTGTAATTCTTTACGCAAATTATGCAAAATATGCCGTACCCGTTCATCTGAAATGCCTATGGTATGAGTAATTTCACGCGTAGTCATACTTGGATCTTCGGAAACATAACATGTATTTGCTCAATGATTTCTGGTGTTGATGCGCTTTTTGAACGTCCACTGCGTGGATCATCTTCAATGCTTGTACGACCACGTTGAAACTCAAGTGCCCATTTACTAACCATTATTTTTGAAGGAGCAGATTCCCCTAACACATTTACCATCTCGGAATGAATTTCTATTGCCTTTAAACCTTTTTTAACAAAGAACTCAATCACTGCACGCTGTTTCAAATTTTCCATTGCAAACAAATATACTGACACGTCAACTTCAATTGGCTTGTAAACACAGAAAGAATTGACAGATGGAAATGAAACCTAACCTAGGTTCATGTGAAGAGTGATTCTATATAACCGACTACAATTTATAATTCTACCGTTTACTTATAGATGCCGCTCCGCGAACTTTTCACACAACCTGTATAAATCTACTAGAGTTATTTTGAAAGTTAGTACGCGCCATTTTAAAGCTTGGACATTTCTACAAATAATTTAACACATGGCATGTGCATTCGTAAACATAACCACACTTTTTGTGCGATTGAAAATGGAGCATAATAAGAAGCATTTTTAACGCTTTATTGTTTCGATTCGAAGAAAACGGCTGCTGAAGCTCATCGATTCATCTCAGAAACTTATTCTGACTTTTCTCCATCCATCGGTTAAAACATACGAGTACTAGTCGGTACTATCGGCGATTTCGGTTTAAAAAACAAAATGGTGATTTCGATTTGAAAAACAAAGAACGTTCAGGTCAACCTAAAAGGTTTGAAGATGCCGAATTGCAGGCACTATTGGATGAAAACTCAGCTCAAACGCCTCAAGAATTAGCTAAAGCATTAAATGTTGGTAAATCAACCGTTTTAAATTATTTACACGCAATGGGAAAGATTCAAAAATAAGGAAAATAGGTTCCACATGCATATTGTCTGAATTGGCCATTCAAAATCGTTTAACCATTTGCACTTCATTCAAATTATAACTGGAGATGAAAATGAATCTACTATGATAATCTTAAGCGTAAAAAGTCGTGGATAAGTCCAGGTCAACCATCGACATTGACTCTAAAACGCAACATCCACGGATATAAGGTTTTATTGTGCATTTGGTGACATGAAAAGCATCGTGTTTTATGAGTCGCTACAACCGAATCAAACAGTCACTGCTGTGCGTTATCAACAATTAATCGATTTGAATCGATGTCGCGCTTTAAACCGGAAACGTCCAGCTCATAATAGCTCAAAGAAAACGCAAAATAATTTTGTTGCACGATAATGTTCGACCGCACGTTGCAGAAACAGATAAGGATACATTACCGGCACATCAATGGGAGTTCATACTACACGCCGCGTATTCACTAGATTGTACTCCTTCCGACTACCACTTATTACGATCTATGCGGCACAGCCTTGCTGACCAGCACTTCAAAATACCTGAAGAAATACAGAAATGACTCGATGAACGGATTGCTTCGAAGGACGAACACTTCTTTTATCGCGGAATTCACCTGTCGCCCGAAAAGTGGGAAAAAGTTATAGCTAGCGATGGAAAATATTTTGAATAAAATATAATTTGACGACTCTCAAAAATAAACGTTTTTCTTTTGCAAAAAATCCTTCAAAACTAACCGCAACACCCATTATATGCGCATGTGTAAGATAACCACTCGACGCAGCCGATTGCAGCTCGTGGC